GGGGTGCTGCGTTGTGTGTCAGAGGGGAAAGAGGGGGGGAGGGGGGAAGACAAGGCACTGGCAGTCGCAGCCGAAGAGGCACGTAGAAGACGTCACGACGAAAGCAGAAGAGAAGAAGACGAGCGGACGAAAAGAAACCGAAAAAGAACCAGACCACAAGCAGCCGCACAAGACCGAAGCAAGACGAAGAGCACGAGACGACGAAACAAGACGAACGCATACGACAGGGGACGGTGCAGCACGGAAGAAGAGGCCGAATCCTAAGAGGACGCAGCCTCACTCCGCCGTCCGCCTCCGCCGTACTCCCTCACGCAGCCTCCCCCTCCTATTACTCAGCCTCCTCAGCACTCCCCAGTCTCTCCTTCCTTCTTCCTTCCTTCCTCCTCCTCCTCCTCCTTTCCTCCTCCCTCTCCTCTTCCTTCCTCCTACCCTTCTCCTTCTCCTCTTGCCTCGCCTCCTTCCTCCTCTCCTCCTCCCTCCTCCTACGCCTCTCATCCTCCTCTCCTCTTTCACCTACCTCTCTCCTCCTCCCTCTCCTCCTCCTCTCCCCCCCGCCTCTCTCCTCCTTCCTCCTTCTCCTCCTCCTCTTTCTTCCTCTTCCTCCTCCTCCTCCTCCTCCTACCTCGCTCCTCCTCCGCACTCCCCCTTTCCACCTCCTCCCGCCTTGCTTCTCATCTCCTCTCCCTCTCCTCCCTCCTCCTCTCCTCCTCCACCTCCTCTCCTCATCCTCTACTCCTTCCTCCTCCTCCCTCCTCCTCCCCTTTCACTCCTCCCGCCCTGCTCTCATCCTCCACTCCCTCCCACCTCCTCCTGCCTCCTCCTCCTCCTTCCCCCTCCCCCTCTCCTCCTCCCTCTCCTCCTCCTCCTCCTCCTCCTCCTCCTCCTCCTCCTCCTCATCCTCCTCCTCCTCCTCCCCCTCTCTGTTCTTGAAAGGCGAGGCTTCCTCGCTTTCCCCGGGGCTCCCTCTGGTCTCGTGGCGATGGAATCCACCATCCATTAAGTTTTGTTAGGGCCAAAAACGCAAACGAAGTGTGGGAGGTGATGATGGACATTGGTTTGCGATGGCGAAGATGTTTGGATGCGAGTCGGGGTGTAATTAGCAGAATGTGCGGGCGTGTGAAAGGTGGCGAGCGCGCGGGGGAGCTTTGGCGGCCATGGGGAAACATGATTGCGCATGGGGGAGATGGGACGGTGGTGCGGAAGTTGGAAAGACCATGGGGAAGTTGGGAATGACATGGGGAAGATGGGACGGAGGTGGGGAGAAGTTTGGAACACCATGGGGAAGTTGGGAATGGCATGAGGAAATTGGGCGCGGGGGGAGTGCGAGGAAGTTGGGAAAGACATCGAAGAGTTCACATGGACAGCTGGGAAGGGGAGTTCGGTTCATGCGGAAATTCAAGTGCGGCGCGTGGAGGATTAGCTGGATGACCGGGGACGGAGATGATGTGGCTTAGGGGACGGTTTGGATGGCGCGGGCATTTGGCGAAAATGAAATGGAGCGGGTTGGGGCGGGGAGCGATTGGTGCGGGGGAAGTCCTGTGGACTGGATGCGCCCGAAAAAGGCGTTAAATTGTGAGAACACACCAATTGCAGAATACTGTGTCGTCGATCACGGGAGGTGCGATGAGGTTGGAGGTCAGTTTCAGCAAGCGGATGGTCTTCTAGGGGTGCATGACCAGTGATATTTTTTCGGGCACTTTCTTTCCGTGACATCGTTTTTGGTTTCTTCCCTCTCTTTCTCTTTATCTCTCTGCTTCTCTCTCTCTCTCTGAGCCACTCGGTCAGACGCGCCGTGCCGCCTCCTGCCCTCGGCCGCGAGTCCCCGAGGACCCCTCCCCCGGTGGACCACACGGGCACCCGACCCCCTCGCCATACGGAGGAGGAGGAGGAGGAGGAGGAGGAGGAGGACCCAGCCTTAGCCAGCCAGGGCCCACGGCCTCCCGGCCTTGGCCAGAGGGGCCCCGGAGCCGTCCCAGCCTTGCCGGACGGGCTCGGGAGCCTCCCGGCCTCCTCTCCGGCTGAGAGTTTCCCCGCGAGCTCTTTAAGCCCCCGATGACTTTGCGGTGGCCACCCCAGCTTTGAACCGATGGCGTCCTCGGCCCGCAAGCGGGCCATGGCGCGGGCGCAGGGTTCTTGGGAGTGGCTGATGGTTGCGCAATCTGGTAGGACCCTTACCAGCTTCTTCACGTCGGCCGAACGCTCCTCACGGCCATCCAACTTCCCCCGTGCCCCTCCCACTTCCCACATGGCAATTTCGCCCCTCAAAGATCCAGACCTCGGTCGAAGTCCCCCGCGTCCATCGAAGCTCCCGGGTGAGCGCCGAACTTCCGCATGCCCTCCGCGCCAATGCGCGAGCCCCCTTATGGCCATCCAGACTCCTCCACCTCGAATTTCGCCAGATACTCACATCGAAGCCGAGTCTCATCAATGGATGGTGGATCTTACCAAATCTTGTGTCCTCTTCCTCCTCCTCCTCCCTCCTCTTCCTCCTCCTCCGCCTCCTCCTCGCACTCCTCCTGCTCCCGTCCTCGACCTCGTCCTCGTCCTCGTCCTCCTCCTCCTCCTCCTCCTCCTCCTCCTCCTCCTCCTCCTCCTCCTCCTCCTCCTCCCCCTCCCCCTCCCCCTTTCCCTTCCTCTCCTTCTCCTCCTCCGCCCTCCTCCTTGAAAGGCCAGCCTTCCTCGCCTTCCCTTGGGCTCTCTGGACTCCCTGGGTCCCTCTGCCTCCAGAAAGGCCAGCCTTCCTCGGGCTCCCTGGGTTCCTAGATCTTGTTTCCTTGTTGCTTGTCAGGCAAGTCCAAGCAAGGCCAAGCAATGCATCAACATGAAAAGCAGCGCCAAGCCATGCCAAGCAAAGCAAAGCAAAGCGAAGCCAAGCAGTGCCAACCAATGCCAAGCGATGCCAAGCCATGCAACGTAATGCAAAGTCATGCGAAGAAATGCGACACGATGCCGAGCCATTCGAAGCAATGCCAAACCATGCCACGCAATGCCAAGCTATGCCAATCAATTCAAAGCAATGCACAGCTAAGTAACGCAAAGCAATGCTAACCGATGCGAAGTCAACTTGCCCCACCCTGGCAACGTGCAGAGGGGGGGGGGCGTGGGGCTGGCCTTCCGCATAAGCCGCTTGGGGACCTCTCTGTAACGGGCAGGATCAGTCAGCATGCATCGAATGGGCAAATCGGATCGGGTCGACATTCGCATCGGATCGGGCTGCATCGGCACGGAGCCGAAATCGAATCGGATCGGTTGCGTCAGGCCGTGCAAACATTGGGCCGCATCGGATCGGCGGAACATCGAATCGAATCCGATCGGGCCCGCTGGCATCGATGGCGAATCGGATCGACGGGACCGAAACGGACCCTGCAGGGACCCGGAGGACTCGGAGAGAGCTCCTCGGACAGGAGGGCCCCGAGAGCCCCCCCGGCCTTCTCACGAGGCCGCCCTCCTCGCCTTGCCACCGACCAGACTCGGCCACAGTGAGCGGCTTGAATAAGGAACGCTTTCTTTTCAAAAGGGGCTCGGTCGTTGCATGTATCGTTCCCTATATGCATTATGCATTACTCATCGTTCGTTCTGCGTCATTCCCTGGAGAAGAGGGGCTTCGTTCCTGATGTATCGTTCCTGAGGTCAGGCCGATGACTGTAACCCCAGGAAGCCTTTAAGAACCCCCCCCCCCTCCGGCAAATCGATAACCCTTCCGCACCCTGGAAGCGTTACCTGGCACCAGGAGCCCTCCGTTGTGTCCGTGTGCTAGAGCTCCGTATCGTTCCCGAGGTCAGGCCGATGACCGTACTCGCACAGAGTGGGCCGAGGCAAGCGAGGCCTCTGGTGCGAGGGGGGGCCGCCGGGGGGGGGGGCCGGATCCAGGCGCGCAGGCCGCTGCCATCTCGTCGCGCTCGGCGCCTGCCGGCGATCGGGGACCTCCCTCGTCGCTGGTCGTCGTCGGCGTCGCCGTCCTTCCTCCTCCTCCTCCGCCTCCTCCCTCCTCCTCCTCCTCCGCCCTCCTCCTCCGCCTTCCTCCTCTTCCTCCTTCTCCTCCTCCCTCCTCGTCGTTCGCGTCGTCGCCGTCCTCCCTCCTCCCTCGTCGTCCTCGTCGTTGCCGTCGTCGTCGCCGTCCTGCAGGCCAGCACCAGCAGTCGCTCCGGCGCGAGGCCGCCCTCGCGCCGGCGCCCCGCGGCCCCGCTCGGAGCCAGCCCCCCGACGCCTCCCCCGGGGTCAACGCCCAGGCCAGCCCTCCGAGCCGCGCCCGCCCGTGGCGGCGAGAGCTTCCCCGAGAGCTCCGAGACGGCGGCGCCGTCGACCGACTCGGCCGCCGCCGCTCGCCTCCGTCCGCCCGCCACCGGCCAGCCCCGCCTGGGCGGCGTCAACAGTAGGGGTCTCCCAGGTGGGGTCCGAGCAGATGGGGTCGGAGGCTCGCGCCGCATCGGCGACGAGAGAGGGAGGAGGACGACCAGGAGGAGGAGGAGGAGGAGGAGGAGGAGGAGGAGGAGGAGGAGGAGGAGGAGGAGGAGGAGGAGGAGGAAGGCAGCAAGGGGGGAGTCTGGGCGGGAGGATGAACACGGGAGGAGAAGGTACAGGAGGACACGAGGAGGAGGGGGAGATGGAGGAGGAGGAGGAAGAGGAGGAGGTGGAGGAGGCGGCGGAAGCATAGAATGCAGAGGAGGAGGACGAGAAGGAGGAGGAGGACGAGGAGGAGTAGGAGGAGGAGGAGGTGGAGAAGGAGGTATAGGAAGCCGAGAAGGAGAAGGAGGAGGAGGAGGAGGAGGAGGAGGAGGAGGAGGAGTTGGAGGAGGAGGCGGAACGGGACGAGAAAGCACAGGCGGAAGGAGGAGGCAGCAGAGGAGGGATGCAGGTGGTAGAGGAAGAGGAGGAGGATGAGGAGGAGGAGGAGAAGGAGGAGAAGGAAGGGGAGGAACTGGGATGGAAGGGAGGAGGAGGAAGAGGAGGAGGAGGAGGAGGAGGCCGAGGAGGCCTAGGATGAGGAGGAGGACGCCGAGGTGCTTGCCGCCGCGGCCGCCGCGGCGCTGCTGTCGCAGCCGATGGAGCCCGCCGTGGCGAAGGACGTGCTGCTGTCGGCCACCGCGGACCCGAACGAGACCGGGCGGCGGAAAACTCAGTAGTCTGGCGCCGATCCCGGCCGGGCCCACCTTTCGACTACACTTAAGAGTGACCCTTCGCCGGAGTGACCTTTGGTGCGGGCCCACTGGGGTCCCCCGATCGCCGAGCGCGATGCGGTAGCAGCGTCTTGCGCGCTTGTGTTTGGTCCCGCCGCGGCCCCGCGAAAGCCGCGCACCAACCAAAGGGCACTCTTACCCAGGGTCACTCTTACGTGTAGCCGAACCTTGCCCAGGGTCGGTGCACACGCCGTGCTTCCTCCACCTCCCTCGTCAGACGGTGCCAGGACGAGGATCAATCCGTGCCAGAGCGTTCCATAAGCGCTCTCAGAGCGTTCCCGAGCGCTCCGAGAAGGCCGCGGCGCCCGAGACAGCCTCCACAGCCGCCGGACCTCAGAGCTTCTCAATTCATCCTCACCCGTTTGTATCTTCGTCCTGGCTTCGTCGCCTCTCGTCGTTCAAGCAGTGGCGAAGCGTCCTGGCTCGCCTATAGACCCACCAACAAATGTTCTAATAACCTTTTGTGGTTTGCACGGGATGCTCTTAGAACATTTCTGGCTGAGACTGTCTTGTCTTAACGCATCGGGGTTTGATTCTAAGAACGTTGTTTTGTTCTTAGAGCATCTCTGAGTTCCAAGAACATGTTATGGTAGGCCTCAGGGAATGCTGGGAAGGTCGGTCCCTGCTCAGGTCATGGAAAAGCACGACCGGCTGCTTTTTCTTCAAACGGCTCGGTAGGGGGATCTGGCAGTGCTTCAAAAACAAAAGGAGAGTTCCACAGTGGAGACGGGGAGGCCGAGACCGCCGGGTCTACCGGCCGTGTCTATTGAGCTTCCCTCACGAGTTATTCAGAGATCGTGTTATCGCTTCAGTGGTGGCTACTTTTTCCCAAGCACCCTGTGGTGTTGGGGTCCTCGTTTTGAAGAGACAGCGCCCCGCGTTCTCCTCCTTGCTTCCTTCCTCCTTTCCCTCATCATCGTCATCATTATCATCATCATCGTCATCATCAGCGTCATCACCGTCATCATCTCTATGATCATCACGACCGCCATCTTCACCATCATCGTCATCATCATCGCCGTCATCATCACCATCACCACTCCCACATTTCGTGGCCCCTCATTGGGAGCTCTACCGAAGGCCCCAGTGCCACCGCCGGATGCGTCACCCACACCCATTTCGCCACACCCCTCACACGCTTCGTGGCCCCATAGGGAGCTCCACCGAAGGCCCCAGTGCCACCGTCCACATGCGTCCCCCCCACCCACTTCGGCGCACCCCTCCCACGTTTCGTGGCCTCATAGGGAGCTCCACCGAAGGCCCCAGTTCCACCGTCCACATGGGTCTCCCCCACCCACTTCGGTACACCCCTCCCGCGTTTCGTGGCCCCATAGGGGGCTCCACCGAAGGCTCCAGTGCCACCGTTCGCATGCGTCCCCCACTTCCTCTTCAGTGGCCGTGCCCGCATGCGTCACCCACACCCATTTTGGCACACCCCGCGGCTGGCTCCACCGAAGGCCCCAATGGCGCCGCCCGCGGTTGAGAGGAGGAAGAGGAGGAGGAGGAGGAGGAGGAGGAGGAGGAGGAGGAGGAGGAGGAGGAGGAAGAGGAGAAGACGGAGGAAAACGAGGAGGAGGAGGAGGAGGAGGATGAGCGCCACGCATGTCGGCACACCACACGTACAGTTCGTGGCCCCATAGAGAGCGCCACGGAAGAGGCTATTCACCTTTGCGGTACAACTGCCCATGGATTTGCGCTTCGCCGGGCCAATCTGGTCTGGGCGGCCGCGATCCCTTGCAACAAGTCCGCTCAGGTGCGCGTGGCCGTGCGTCTCCTGGGAATCCCTAGGGATACCTGGGCAGGCATGCGCCACTCCCGTAGAGGTTGTATCTCAACGCCATGGAGCATGACATTTTGCACTTGCTTCCCCAGTGGAATAGCAGGATGCATGAGACAAGAGAGTTTGGCCGATGGTAAGTAGCTGCCAACTCACATGACGAATGCACGCAATGTTGTTGGTCTTCAACAAAGCAAGGGGGCGGCTGAGCAACGCTGTTGAGCAGTTCGCTGACTGGCAGCATGCGCTTACATTAACACGGACGCGAACAAGACCCAGGATGTGGGCGCCGCATCCAGTTACGGTGGAGGCGTTGGATGAGGAAACCTTAAAAAAGAAATCCAGGGTCTGGAAACCATTGGAATTCCACTTATGGATCGAACATGGGCCATGGGTATCGCAACTGCCTTCGCCAGGCAAGGGATCATCCCGGGTCTGAGCCATCCTGGGCACATTCCTTAACCAACGCCACCACCGTAGTTCATGGGGAAGACATTTCGGTTTTGAGAAAAATGAGGCAAGCACGCATCAATTCCTGGGGAACACATGGAAGAGCTCACGGAAAACAAGGCGACGGAAGCAGGCCGCTTGCGCGGGTGGAGCATCGCCGCAGAAGCCGTTGGCCTCTTGCGCACAACTTCGGTGCTAGCAGCGGCAGGCCGCTTTCGCAGACGGGGCATCGCCACAGCAGCCGCTGGCCTCCTGCGCAAAACTTTGGCGCTAGCAGGCAGGCGGCCGACGTCGACGCGCGGATTCGCGCGCGCTGCCAGCCGCAGCTTTGGCGCGATCTTTGGCGGGTGCTGGGTTTAGGTGCACAGCGCAGCCTGAAGCAGCTCGCGCTCCTGGTGGCGCTCGGTCAGAGGCAAACTCTTCCTGGCCCAACCTCCCAGGAGCATGACAAAGAAACACATCGAACAAGCTGCGCGCGCGCGTTGCGCTCTGTCTGAATAAAGACATTGCGGAATAATGCCTTTACTTGCATATGTAATGCTTCGTTCTTCGTTGGTCCATACATCACCTGAATGCCAGGGTTCCGCGCAATGAATCTACCCAGGTTCAGGAGGTGCACGAGCTGCGCGGGCGACGCGGCATATCGCAATCTTCCCAAGACAGTGGTCTTCGTGCCAGTCGTCTTGCCCACCCCCCGCGGGAGCATGTTGAGGATCGGCGGGCCAAAAGGGGGCCCAAGGGGAACAAAAGGGGACAACAAGGGACACAAGGGAATTACATTGCAAAACCATGCGCGCACATTTCCCTTTTTTACGGCCTCAAAACGCCCTCGTGGGCGGCGACTGGCGCCTGCAATCGTGTATTCTGCCACAAAAGGAATATGTTTGGAATCCGCTACAAAGAGAACATCCTTTTGGAATCCACCGAGCGTGCTGTACTGGCACGGTGGCGGGACTTGCCGCAGGCAGCTCGATAACTTGCACAACTGTCGCCAGCCCGTTAATCATCGTTATCAAGCATGGATACACAACGCGCCACGGGTTAGGACACCCGTGGCCCCTCGCACATGGACCACCGAGACAGCTGGGCGGGCGCGGTGGCGGGACTTGCCGCAGGCAGGTGGATATGAGTGACGTGAAGAGGGAGGCGGAGGAGGAGGATGAGCGAAAAATGATGAAAACGAGCAGTTTTTTTTTCTGCGAAGCGCCACTCGATGAAGCAAGCCTGACCAACCTGAATTTGTCTCATGCGGCGTGCCGCAGGCAACCGTGAAACCAACGAGGGGGGAGGAGGATTTCCAGGATTTCCGCCTTCACGTAGTGAAAGCTAGGCTTGATGCTCAGCTCTTGCACTTGGGTAACAGGCCGCGCTCGATCCTGTCGAGATATTCGCGCCTGGCCTTCGAGATGGGTAATTTGCACGGTTCCGCTAGCCCCCTGAGCTGGGCTTGACCGTAAAAACCGCACGTGCCGCAATACCACAACTGAAGGTCTTTATGATACATCAAAGCGTGAGTGGGATGGGTCCAACCCCCAGCCAAGTGTAAACGCCGTCCTCTCGGAACACGTGCGATCTGACTATTCACATGCTGGAGTTGGAAGCATTCACTTTTTAACCATTCCGCTAGCACCGCTTCGGTCGAGGAGCCCCTACACACACTACACGCCCTACCACTTTCGGTCAGGGAGTGGGCAGACGCGAAGCGTGCAATGGCGATAGGAGGAGGAGGAGGAGGAGGGGGAGGCGGGCCAGCTCGAGCTGAGGCCCCAGCTTCCCCCGACACCTGGGCGGCCTTGATAGAATCCAACCCTACTCGCAAAAGCCTCCTCCGCACCAACAAGGCTTTGTGTTCGATGGACATGACACGGTGACGACTGGCCTGGGAAACCCGCGCGTGCGCGGCCGATTCTCCAGCAAGGACGTCGACGCAAGCATTGCCAATCACAAGCCAACTCGGTATCCCACGGGCGAGGTACTCCCGTGGGCTGAGGTGCGAGGGCACCTGCATGATGATTATACTGGCAGGGTGCCGAGCCTGAGGAGGAGGAGGAGGAGGAGGAGGAGGAGGAGGAGGAGGAGGAAGAAGAGGAGGAGGAGGACGGCGGGGGAGGCTGGGCAGCGTGGTTGCCCGAATTGGCTGTCACGCGCGTCATCTTCTTGACGCGCTGGCAGAAGTCATACGTAAGAAAAACTCCGGCGAGAGGTGGCGGAGGGCGAGGGGGAAAGAAAGGGGAACAGCAGACGGGACAACGGCGTTGTGAGCGCACCCCGATGGGCCAAACGACCATCCATATACCAAGGCACGGCGCAGCGTCGAACAAAATGAAGCCGCCGCAAAAGTATTTTTTTGTATTCCGCCGCACAAGGATCTTTCTGATATCAGCCACAGAAAAAATCTTTCGTAATCTTCCACAGAAAGCCCCAGAGGGTCCAGGGAGGTACCAACCCCACAAGAAAAAGGGGGTGAGGGAACTGGGCCGGAACTGCGGGATAAGATTTCAATAGAATTCTTGTCGTGGTCGGTTTCAGTATGATTTTTTTGTAAAAAGATTTCAATCGGATTCCTTTGGTGAAAGATTTCAGCGGAATTCATTTGATCGAGGATTTCAATCGAATTTTTGTGTGCCTGGCTCAAGCGGAGGCGGGTGGGGGCCTGGCCGACGAAAAGGGCAAACAAAAAACAAAGAAGACAATTTGGGGGACCAAAAACGTTGTGGTTTTAATCGTGAATTGGTTTCCGATTGACAACCACAAAAAGTAAAACAGACAACCTGGAAGCGAAGCAAACCGGTGTTTTTACAATGTTTGCACATTTACACATTGATTTTTTATTGTGTGGAATTCAAATAAAACCTTTTTTGTGGGGATCTACAAACCGATTCCTATTGTGTAGGGGACAATTACAAATTAATTCCTTCAGCCAGGCTCGAAAGGGACTTGATGGAAATACCGCGCAATAGAAATCAAAATGTATATGCGCAAACAGTGAAAAACAAACAGGTTTCCTGTCCTTTCAGGTTGCCTGTTTTTTGCCTTTTGGGTTTTCAATCGAAAACCAATTTACAATCAAAAACGCAGCATTTTGTGTCCCCCAAGTTGCTCTTTTGGCCCTCTGTGCCTTTTGTACCTTTTTTGTCGGCCGAGTGCCCCCCCCCTTCCGTAGCGAGGCACAGAGGATTTTTGTTTGAAGGCTTCACAAAAATAATCAATTTGTGTGGGGGGGTCAAAAGGACTCTGTGGCCAATTACAAACACATTTTTCTTTTTGTGGATGATTACAAAAACCTCTCCGCGAGCGTTGTTCCAGGGCACGGAGATATAACCCTTACTCCCCGTTCCTTGGACCCCGAATGCAATCACTTCGCCGCCGAATTATTGCTTGATGTATGTATATCGTATTCACATGCATATATCCGAATGTATGTTTACATGCACATATAGTCACACGTGTGTATACATACATACAAACAAACATATATATATATATATATAACTATTTGTATATATAAGATCATGCGCTCGCATGAATTGGTACATGTGTTTGGGTCGTATGCGTGCACATGTGCAGACTACTTCGGCCGACGAGGAAAGCAGTTCTCGACGTACTGGAACACCGTACGTGCGTACGCGCGCGAGTGCGCGCGCGTGCGAGCGGTGGCTTCTAGTGCTCGCGTTCGGTAGCCTTTGGTGCCCGATGGGCCCAGCGCCGTCGCGGTCGGCGTGTTCTCGGCCCCAGCGGCCGTGTGCATGGAGTGGTCCCTGGGTGCGGTCTCGATCCACTCCAGGTCGCAGGTCGCGTCAGGCATCGCAGGTTCTCGACCCAGCGAGGGGGTGCGCCGGGGGTCGTCCGTGAACGCGGTCTCTACCCGGGCCAGGGTCGTGGGGCGTGGCAGGCGCAGGAACTTGCCCAGGACATCGGAGCGCCAGGGCGGTCGCGGGGACGCCCCCCGGCGGTCCAATTCGCCCCGCTTTCCGTTTGTTATATAGTGCACTTCGGCGCTGGGAGTCGGTACGGCTCCCAGCCATCCTGGGGTGTTGAGTCTTCGTTTCGAAGAGACGGCGCCCCGCTTTCCCTCCTCCTTCCTCCTGCTGCCCTCCTCTCTTCCTCTCATCCTTGCTCCTGCTCCCCGCATCACTCTATAATTTCGGCACGCGTCTCAGACGCTTCGTGGCCCCATAGTGAACTCCACCGAAAGTCCCAGTGCGACCGCCAGCATGAACCTTCCCCACCCCGCCCCACACGGAGTATAACTCTTCGTGGCCCCGTAGGGAGCTCCACCGACGGCCCCAGTGTTACCGCCCGCATGCGTGTCCCCCACCCCGTACAGCGTGTCGTGGCGCATAGGGAGCTCCACCGACAGTCCCAACGCTACTGCCCGCATGTGCCCCCCCTACCCAGTACAGCTTCCCGTAGCCCAATGGGGAGCTCCACCGACGTTCCCAGTGCTATCGCCCGCAGGCGCGCCCCCCACCCAGTAGAGCGCGCCGTGGCCCATAGGGAGCTCCACCGAGAGTCCTAGCGCTACCGCCCGCATGCGTCCCCCCACCCATTACAGCGCTTCGTAGCCCCATAGGGAGTTTTTCCGACGGCCCAGTGCTACAGCCCGCAGGCGCCCCCTCCCGCATATGCGCCCCCGCCCACCCCCCACCCCACACGCAATACAGTGTTTCGTGGCCCCAGTGGGAGCTCCAAAGACGGCCCGAGTGGCACCGTCCGCACGCGTTCCCCCCCACCCAGTACAGCGCTCCGTGGCCCCATAGAGAGCTCCGCCGATGGCCCCAGTGGCACTTTCCGCATGCGTCTCCCTCACCCAATGCAGCACTGGATGGCCCCACGGAGATTCACCGGAGGCTCCAGTGGAGCCGCCCGCACGCGTGCCCACCGCCCAATACAGCGATTCGTGGCCCGCCCATAGGGAGCTCCACCGCAGGCCCACTGGCGACATTTGCGCGCGCCCCCCCCCACCCAGTACAGCCTCTCGTGGCCCAGTAGGGAGCTCCACCGAGGTCCCCTGTGCTACCGCCCGCATGCGCGTCTCCCCCCCCCGGAACAGCGCTTCGTGGACCCATCGGGAACTCTGCGGGACCCCCCAGAGGCAAAATTCGCATGCTCCACCGAAGACGATACCCACAACTGCGGCACTTACAGTTGCATGTGTCTGGGTCTTTCGCCGGGCTCATTTTTGCCGTTCCCCCGGCTTCTGGTTGTTGAACACTTTGTTTTTAGACATTACTCGACCTGCGTTTTCACCGTTGCTGCTCTGTTACCCCATGTTGTCCTGGCTGGCCTCAACATGCCCTCCCAGTAGTCTAGGGCGGTATTAACACTCAGGCGCAACCAGGGCGCTCCGCGCCCCAGGGTTGAGGTTTTCGGACGCGGCTAGGACGAAGGTAAACCCAGAGCTCTCTGGAGCGCTTCCAGAGCGTCCCGGAACGCTGCGAGGAGGCCGCGGCGGCCGAGACATCCTCCAGAGACGCCGGACCTCAGAGATGTTTGATGTATCGTCACCCGAATTCACCCTCGTCTTGGCGTCGTCTTACCTAACACTGGTGCCACCAGGGCGCTCCGCGCCGGCCCAGGGTTGATGTGTTGGGACCGCCCCGGGCTGCTCGGGGGGGCCTGTTGAGGCCAGCAGGGGCCACCCTTCAGTTGGGCATGTCCCTCTACAGGAGGAACATTCGAGAATAGTAGCAGGAAGTCTGGGTACGAGTATTCGACTGCTTTTTGACCACATTTGATATGTAATGGCTATTTTTTCGGTGTTCTTCGAAGATCCGCCTGTGGAAGGGTATGCCCGACCTAACATTACCCGGTGGGGGGGAGGGGGCTGACCGCGTGGAGCCCGAAGCCCTGCCGCACGCGCCGCCCCTCGCAAGGGCTGGGCAGGCGTGGCGACGGCTCCTGGAACCCGGGGCTGGCCCAGCCGGAGCTCGGCGTCGGTGTTCTATAGGCCTCCCAGATGGGGTCGGAGGAGGAGGGGGACGGGGGAGGAGGAGGAGGAGGAGGAGGAGGAGGAGGAGGAGGAGGAGGAGGAGGAGGAGGAGGAGGAGGAGGAGGGGGAGGAGGAGGGGGAGGGGGAGGAGGGGGGGGAGGAGGAGGGAGGAGGAGGAGGAGGAGGAGGAGGAGGGAGGAGGAGGGAGGAGGAGGAGGAGGAGGAGGAGGAGGAGGAGGAGGAGGCGGAGGAGGAGGAGGAGTACACTGCTTCGGGGAGGGTGCACGGAGGCGGGGGTGGTGGAGTCTAGGCCTCCCAGATGGGGTCGGAGTAGATGGGCTCGGAGGACCACACCGCATCGCCGATGCATCGCCGATGCGGCCCGATGTGCAGCCTGATATGCTTCACGTCGACGTCGCCGATGCATCGCCGACGTCGGCGGTGTCTCGTTGGTGCATCGCCGATGAATCGCCGATGCATCGGCGATGCATCGGCGATGCGGCGCGATCATCCGACCCCATCTACTCCGACCACATCCAGGAGGCCTCTAGGTGTACAGTCGGACCGAGGTATAAGATCGAGGTCGGTTCGGGGAGGGTACCCTCGTGGTTATTCGAGTCCGTTGGATGTTCTTGTGCACACTGGGGGGGCACCCTAAAGTCCCCTGTTTGTTTTTGGCCGACGGAGGGCCGCATGTTCTTGGAGGACGTTCTCTCCTGGCCTGGGTCCGACTGTATAGCTGCCGTCGCGTTAGGAGAACATCGCGGCGCCGCTGATCGACAACTCGAACCTGGTGAAGGCCGTGGGTCAGAAGAGAGAATACCTTGGCATCGCTCGGACGTGTGCATTGTTCCTTCGGCGAGGACCATCGAGGAGCATCCTTGATCATTTGGCGAAACAGCCGCGCACGGAACCGAACAAAAAGCACAGGGGAGGGACGTCCGAGCGATGGCGAGATGCCGGTCCGGCGAGGCCTGGGCGGCGAGGGAGCGGGACGGCCCCGAGAGCGGCCCGGGGTGGCACCCTGGCCGGGGCGGACCCTGGGAGGGGTCCGAGTGCCGATCTGTTCCGGGGGTTGTGGCCGCCCGGTTACCATCCCTCGGACGTGTGCATGTTTTCTCGGCGAGAGCCCTCGAGGACCACCCTGGACCCTCGAGCAGCAAAAAACACGCACGAGGCCGAAACTTGTACAAGGAATGGACGCCCGAGCGACGGCGAGGGTTCAGAGGAGAGAGAACTCGGGAGCCCTGAGACGGGGGTCGATGCAAGCGGGGGTCGGCCAGAGCGCCCGACCTTGCAGGCTCCTGCAGGGCCAGGGCGGCATCGACACGGGCTTGGGTGCAGGATCCTGCAGGATCCTGCAGGGGAGCCTTCGCATCGACCCGGGCTTGGGTGCAGGGTCTTCCGGGCTTCTGCAGGGCTATAAGGCCTGACTGGCCCGGGCCTGGAGTTGAACAAGAGGAAGGGGCGGTGGAATTGTCCCTTGTCTCACCCTCGTCAATTGTCATGCATGGCGGCGCCCCGGCGCCCACCTGCAGCGCCCCCGCGGCGCCTCGACTGCAGGCCGATGTCCGATGTCCGAGGAAGGGGCGGTGGAGGCGGAGGGAGAGCCGGAGCAAAAGGGGTACACAGGAGGCAGACGGGGACAGGGGCACTGCAGGGGTGCAATATATCGGAGGTGGGCCCCCGGCGTGCGCTCGTGCGTGTGTGTGCGCCGGCCTGCGCGACGCCGCCCCCCCCCCCCCGCCCCTCCCGCGGACGTGCCGGTAATTACCAGTGCCGCCCCTCCCCGGTTCTCGCCCTGCTGAGCCTCCTCCTCCTCCTCCTCCTCCTCTTCGTTGTCCTCCTCCTCCTCCTCCTCCTCCTCCTCGGCCTCCTCCTCCTCCTCCTCTTTCTCCTCCTCCTCCTCCTCCTCCTCCTCCTGCAGGAGGGCGCCAGGGGGGTCGCCGTCGACACGGCCGGGGTCGCCTCGGCAGGCCGGCGAGGAGGCACCACGGGAGAGGTCCAGCCCGGATGCACCCCACGGGGCGGAGAGGCGGAGGGTGGCCGGGAGGTTGGGGGGGGGACAGGACGAGCCACGCCCAACAAGGGCCAGGGAGCTCCTGGTGTCAGAGCGTGAATTACCACGCTTTCGCTTCCAGGCAAAACCAAGCCATACCACGCGCCTCCTCGTCAAGCGGCCTGACCAGTACAGGCTGCAATTTGGCATCGTTTGGTATCTCTTGGAAGCGAGGGTGGTCAAAAGCGAGGTAGGTTTGGTTTCCCCCCATGGTGGTGCTTCTTCCCAAGCTCGGCCATGGGGTGGTGTGTGGCCCCGAGGGGGGGGCGGTGTCGCGGTGGGGGGAGGCACCGGGCCGGGCCCGCTGCGGGGAGGCGGCTCCTCGCCGCGGCTCGGCTCGCCTCGAGGCTCTGGCCGGGACGTGCCCCGGGTGACCGCCTGCGATCGGCGGCGCGCCCGGGGGGAAGTAAAACGACGCGAAGATCGGGACAACATCGGATCGGGATAACTCGAAATCTCTGAGAATCGGCGGGTTTGGAGGATGTATTGGGCGCCGCGGCCGCTCCAGAGCGTTCCAGAACGCTCTGAGAGCGCTCAGGATCGCTCTGGATCGATTTATCCCGATGCTAGCCCTGTTTTAGGAAGTGAGAAGGGGCGGGCCTTCTCAGGAGGCTCGGAAGTCCCTCGGCCTTCTGAGAAGTTCTGTAAGCTTTCCCCGAAGACAGAAGGCGCGAGGGCTTCCTGAGAAGTCCCGCGGCCTTCTGAGAGGGCCTTCTCCTTCTCGCTTCCCCCCCTCGCTCGCCGCCGATTCGAGGGGATGAGGGCGGGGGGGGGGGGGCAGGGCCCACACCTCGGGCGTTTTTTTGTTTGCATTCTGGCTTCTTCCAGGGTAATCATCGACTAGACTTGTGCAGGACGATGAATGGAGAGGAAGCATGTTGCCAAGTAATTTCTAGATGTCTAATTCATGTTCTAAACATGTTTTAAACATGTGAAAAATGTTCAAAACGTGTCTAGAACATGCTTCCGACAGCTTGAACACATTTTAAGTTCAGTGATGGGACTGTTAGGGTGTCCGTTGTCGTGGCATCCAGAAAGATGAGGGTGGGGGGGAGGTCCCACAACTCGGGCGTTTCTTGTTGCATTCTGGCTTCTGCAGGGTACTCATCGACTAGACGTGAGGGTGACCCTTCGCCAGAGTGACCTCTGGTGCGGGCCCGGCGGGGTCCCTCGATCGCCGAGCGCGATGCGACAGCAGCGCCTTGCGCGCCTGTGTTTGGTCCCCCCGCGACCCCAAACATTCGGGCGAAGATAACTATGCACATGCACTGATCCTGGCAAGGCCCATCCTTGGCCCCAGGATCGGTGCACATGCCTTCCTGGCCAAGGCAGGAGGGCGCATGCACCGATCCTGGGCTCAGGATGGGCCTGGCCAGAATCGGTGTATTTGCATAGTTCTTTTTCTTATAAAAATGCCGAGCACCAAAGGTCACTCTTACCCAGGGCCACTCCTGCGTGTAGCCGAAATCATTGCTGATTCTTCCTCTGGTGCATCTTCTGTTTTTTTTCAATTGAAAGGCCCCTCCTGGGGCTTGCACCCTGTCTTTGCATGGGAAAGTCTTGCGCCTCCGACTCTGTTGTCGGCCCCCGGTTTACAACATCAGCGACTCCCGCCCAATACGTATGCAGGAATCGCGCTCTCGTTTGGGACGCGATCGCAATTTATTGAGACGCTGCGCCCTCGACACTCAGGAATTGTTCTCTCGCGTAGGACTTCCTCGCAATTTATTGAGACACCGCGCCCTCGACTCTCAGGAATCAAGCTCTCGTGTGGGACTTCCTCACAATTCACGTCGGAATCGCGCTATCGCTCGAGACTTTCTTGCGATTCGTGCAGGACTGACGCTTCAGTGACCCGCCTGCTCGACCCGCCCGTTACGGTTTGCCCGCCCGACCAGCCCGTTTGGTTCAGCTGTTTGTTGTCCTGCTCCTAATCCCCCCCCTGCTAATCTCTCTCGTGATCCAACTTCTCCCCTTTTCCTTTTGTCCCTCCCCTCCTCCCTCCCTTCCTCTGTTTTGGGAGTGTGCCAACCAACTGCACGTGGCAGGTACAGAAGATGTACACCCAAGGGGCCACCATCGACGACGAAGAGGGTGGGTGTCGAGGGTTTGGGGTACACATGTTCAGCTACACGCGCGCAGAATATTGCGAACAGTCTCAGGCCGATCCCCCCGCCCAACAGCAACAACAATCAGCATTTGACCATATTGTGCCATGCTTTTACATACCACATGCGTCCATCATGATGTTAACCCCTCTTGGTGGAACTGAATGAAAAGGGGGCTGATATTCCCGCACCCAGATCCCTCAGCCAAGAAGGTCGAGCTTCCATTCCACCCGTTGCACATACCCACTTCCAGCTCGCACGAAACATGACAAGACACAGTACGACTTTGGGGACCAGCAACAACGACCATTTAAGACTGTTCCCTCCAATCTGCTCGCGTGCTATTCAACACGTATCTCCCAAACCTTGGGTACCCGCCCTCTTCGTCTTCGACCGTACCCCCTTAGGGGTTTATATCTCTTACCTGCAACGTGTACTTCGTTCAGCTCCTGCCTTAGGGAGGACGGATGTAAGCAAGGGACCAGGGGCAGGCGGGTTGCTGAAGCGTGCATTCTGCATGAATCACGATTCCCAAGTAAATCCGTGAGGAAATTTAGAGGTCGCCTCGTCTGAATGAATTCCGAGGACGTCCCACGCGAGAGCGCGACTCCTGTTATAAAATATGAGGAAGTCCCGCGCGAGAGCGCGATTTCGGAATACATTGTGGAGGAGTATCAGGCGGGAGCCCTTGTTGTTGTTGTTGTTGTTGTTGTTGTTGTTGTTGTTGTTGTAAATCGGGGGCCGGGGGCACATATTGGTGACACTTGACTTCCCCTTGTGCAACAGGGTGCGAGCCCCGGGAGAAGCGCTTGTATTGAAAAAACAGTGGTTGCCGCGCGGGGGGGATTAACAATAGTTCTAAACGCTTCGCGTATCCCCACCAGCCCGTCCAGAAATGAGCCCCAGGGGAGTGGAGGTGATTAGGGAAGCGGGGGAACATGCAGAAGAAAGGGCGGGGTAAGCCGCCATATACCCAAATAGGGGGAGGATGTAGGAGGAGTCGTCGCCGTCGGAGTTGGAGGAGGAAGAGGAGGAGCAGGAGGAGGAGCAGGAGGAGGAGGGGGAGGAGGAGGAGGAGGAAGATGAGGAGGCGGAGATGGAGGAGGGCGAGGAGATCTATCAAAGAAGGGGGTGGTGGGAATTAGCGTCGCCCCCCCAGGATGCCAAAATAGGGCCAACACCTTTGTAAAATCAATGATTTTGCCTTCCTCGCCGAGGCCATATTGGACGCTCTGCCGACCAGTGCCCCCCCCCCCGTCCAGGTCCAGGGGAGAGGGTAAGGGGAGTGATAAACCCATCCCCGAAGGGGAAGAAGGAGGGGTGGAAGAGGAAACTCCCTAAACCACCTACGCCCAGAGGGCTGGTGGGATTACTCCCTCGAAATGATATTCCACCAACACCACAACAACAGCACAACCACAATTCGCACCGCGGAACCCCTCTCCAGCAACGCGGCCATGGACAGTGAATGACCGCTCGGAGCTAACAGTCTTAAACCGCAGTGTTGTTGTTGTATCGGTTTCGCTCTCTAGTCTCTCCCTCAATTGGGGCCGTTTTGTTGGGCCTGACATCGTGGATATGGGGCGACATTGTCCTCAGGGATCGGGCGAAGAGAACTATGCACATGCACCGATCCTGGCAAGGCCCGTCCTTGACCCAGGATCGGTGCATCTATTGTGCTGGCCAAGGTAGCGGGCGTATGCACCGATCCTGGGCTCAGGATGGGCCTGGCCAGAATCGGTGTATGTGCATAGTTGTCTCTCCTCTGAGGGATTAGTGAGGGTCGATGCCCCCAGGCCCCACAGATTCAGGACACAAATCATCGGATGTCTGGAAAGAGCCTTCCCTCTCTCCTCGTGCCGCACGCCGCTCGACAAGCGGGCAGGGGCATACCCTTGGTGGGTCCAAGGATCGGTGTCGAGCCTCGGCATCGCTGGGCCGTGTGCATTCTTCCCTCGGCGAGGACCATCGAGGAGCATCATTGATCGCTTGGCGAAACAAAAAACGCACGAAGCCGAAACAAACACAGGGAATGGACGTCCGAGCGATGGCGAGGAGCGGGCTCTGGGGTGGGCAGGGAGAGGGCAGCTGGCATGGGATCTGTAAAGCTGTTGCATGCTCTCGAGACGAATGCGCGCGGCGTTGAGGCGAGAGTTCTATGTTGGACACGCCCCTCCCTCCATTCTTAACACTGTGGCGGCATTCAAGCTTCAGGATCATTCTTGGTGAGGAGAATATCAGGCACAACGCCCGGCCTGTCTTGCCGACATGTTTGGGGATGCGGCAGGTAGTGTTTCTGTTCATGGAAAAGGGATCGAGGGCGAAGAGACGGAGGAGGATGAAGAGGAGACGGATGAGGAGACGGAGGAGGAGTCACAGGGGGAGGAGGAGGAGGAGGATGAGGCGGAGGAGGAGGAGGAGCACATTGAGGACGAAGAGAGTGATGATGATGGTGATGAAGATAATGATGATGGTGGTGGTGGTGATGTTGATGTTGATGTTGATGCTGATGCTGATGTTGTTGTTGATGATGATGATGTTGATGATGGTGATGACGATGATGGCTATGACGATGACGATGACCATGCTAATGATGATGCTGATGACGCTGATGATGATAATGATGATGCTGACGATGATGATGATACTGACGATACTGATGATGAGTATGATGCTGATGCTGATGCTGAGGTTTCTGATCATGATGATGATGATGATGATGATGATGATGATGATGATGATGATGATGATGATGATGATGATGATGATGATGATGATGATGATGATGATGATGATGATGATGATGATGATGACGACGACGACGACGACGACGATGATGATGATGATGATGCTGATGATGATGATGATGATGATGATGATGATGATGATGATGATGGTGATGATGATGATGATGAGGAGGAGGATGATGATGATAGTGGTGGCTGTGGTGGTGTTGGTGATGATGATGATGATGATGATGATGATGATGATGATGATGGTGGTGCTGATGAGGATGAGGAGCAGGAGGATGAGGATGAATATGATGACGAGGATGGTGATCATGGTGACGATCAATGATGATGATGATGATGATGATGATGATGATGATGATGATGATGATGATGATGATGATGATGATGAGGGGGAGGAGGAGGAGGTGTACGAGGAGGAGGCGGTGTATGAGGAGGAGGTGTATGAGGAGGAGGAGGAGGAGTTGGAGTCGGACTCCCCAGGGCGTGCCGTTCGCAGGGGAGAACGCCCCGCGGTACGCGCCGCAGACCTCCCAGTCCGAGGACGACTTGCCCACGCCTCTCGCCTCCTTCAGACCCCCCGCCTTTGCCCTCCTCCTCCTCCTGCTCCTCCTCCTCTCTCCTTCTCCTCCTCTTCCCTTGTCCTCCTCTTCCTTCTCCTTCTCCTCCTCCGCCTTCCTTTTCCTCGTGTCGAACTCCTTCAAAAACCTCCATCGCCGACGCAAGACTAACATCGTCATCTTAATCGGCGGGCGTGATCAACATCGGCGCCGTCGTTGTCCTTGCCATCGTCATCGCCGCCGTCGTCACCGCCATCGCCACTCGTCGCCATGATGCCGCGCCCGCCCGAGTCACCGACTCGCAGTGAAGTGCCCGCTGGGATGTGCCGAGCGGTCAGTGCCACCTCGCCCGCGTCGGGCGCGCCAAACTGGCTGGCCGCGGTGGCCGCAGAGATGCTCCAGCCAACGCCGAGCACTCGTCGCAGTCGCCGCCGCACGGGTTCAGCAAACTATGTTGCGAGCGGGTGGGTGGAATGTTCGCAAGAGCATGTGCTCGGTCGACTCGTTTGCAAAAATCAATTCTCCATGTTAGGAAACTAGACTCCCCCCCTCCCTTCCCCCCCCTCTCCCAGATTTGCCCATCCTCTTGTCGTGCGGCAATTTACACATGGTTCTACCCCATCGTCCATCCTCAATATGAATTCACACCATCCCAGCCGAGCCGGTATCCGCCCCCCACCCCGCCATCTTGCGTAACAAAATTTATGCGCGCGCACTCGGTCATCACAGATCATCACTTGTCATGAATCCGAATTTGCAAAAGATGGAACGAAGTGCGCGCGCGCGTCGTCGCGCTCGCATGCAATAATATTTTTTAAACCGATTGTCTAACCAACATACCTATACGACCACCCTGCGGGTGATAAGGAGGTTGGGGGGGGGGGAGGGGGGCCAGCAATGGGCACTTGTGGTGATTGTTGCGTTGCCGCTCGCTCTTGGGACCCCCCCCCGCGTGCCGAGTGCAACAGAAGCCTTGGGCCGAAATCCCTGGATGGTAAGAGAGTTGAGGGGGGGAGGACCCAACGTCTCACTCAATCGATCTCACAGTGGACCCCACCATCGCTTTCACAATCGATCTCACTCGATGGATCACACAATCGATCTCATTCGATCGATCTCACTATCGATCTCACTATCGATCCTATTCAATTGATATCACTATCGATTTCTCTATCGATCTCACAGGTGATGTCGTTATCGGTCTTGCGATCGATTTCATCATCGATCGCACGATCGATCTCTCCATCGATCTCAACAGCGATGTCGGCATCGGTCTCACGATCGATGGGACCATCGATCCCACTATCGATCTCATTCGATCGATCTCATTATCGATCTCACTCGATCGACTGCACTGTCGATCTCAATCTGGATCTCGCTATCGATCCCATTAACGATTCCCCTATCGAGATCACTCGATCTCACAATCGATATCACTATTAATTTCACTATCGATCTCACTATCGATGTCACGATCGATCTTGCTATCGGTCTCACTAGCGATCTCACGATCGATCTCACAATCGATTTCGTCATCGGTCTCACTATCGTTTTCGCACCAGCGGGACACCGGGACACCGGCGGGACACCAGCGGGACACCGCGGGCCACCGCTTGCCGGAGGGAGAAGCATTTGGTCCGGCCGGGGCCCAGCCACAAGCGGGACATCGTCGGTCCACCGCGGGCCACCGCTTGCTGGAGGGAGAATCATTTGGTCCGGCCGCGCCTCAGCCACAGGAGACTTTCCTTTCGCCCGCCCACGCAGTTCCGCCTCGCCCGCACGCACGGCACGCACGAACACGAAACCGAAACCGATTTCCCGGTGGGGGGCTCTCCGTTCCATTTCGACCTCACCCCCCAACCTCCGATAAAAACACATGGTTTTTCAACGCGGATGCTCAAAACGAACTTGCGCGCGCACTCTCGCGAATTCTTACGAAGACCACACTAACTTTCAACATGCTCAGAAAAAAAACGCTCATGTCGACATCATTCGAACGCCCTTGCGCGCGTGCCGTCGCGATAATCCACTGCATAAAAACGAGGCGAACTGCACGCGCGCGCGTTGTCGCGCGTGTCGTGCGCGCGTGCCGAAATCCTTCAAAAATTGTCGGTTTATATATATATATATATGTATATGTATATTTATATGTATATATATATATATATATATATATGTATATATATATACATACATATATATATATATATTATATATATATAGATCGAGTGTCCCCAAAAACGTATAAACGCATGGCTTCGCCCACCCACCAGTTCTCGAACAAACGTGCGCTCGCGCTCTTGCGACTTCCTAAGACGAATATATGTTGTTCTTATCATTTATGTTTTTTTTCCAAACGGGCCTCTGGCGCCGCATGTCGACAGCATTCGCGCGCCCTTGCGCGCGCGTTGGGGGGGGTGCGATCCGTGTCAAAGAACACCATGCGGGCCACTCTCGTGCGTCGGCCGCGCGCGCATGTCGAAGTCTCTCCAAAACCTTAATTTCCGATGCGAGGACGCCGCCATCCTCGTCGGCGTGATCAGCATCCGCGCCGCCACTGGCCGTGCCGTCGTCGCTGCCAGCATCGCCACCAGCACCGCTACTATCATCACCGTGTCTACCGTTGTCGACGTTGCCATGATACCACGCCCGCCAAATCGCCTACTCGCATTGAAGTGCCCCCTGGGCCGTGCCGAGCGGCCAGCGCCAAAGTAGGTGGCCGCTGCGCGCGCGAGCGCGCGCGGGTTGTCGCGGCCGCAGAAATGCACCAGCCAACGCCGAGCACTCACCGCAATCGCCGCCGCATGGGGTTCGCAAGCCAAGTTGCGAATGGGTGGGTGGGGTATTGCGCGAACAGTGGAGTGGACATTTTCAAGTTGCGCATTAGTCGATTGTACCACGTAGACTATCCTTTTTTGTTGGTAAAAAATGGTTTTCCCCTCCTTCCCCCCCAGGGATGAAAGACCCCCCCTCGGGAACCACAGTAAAACACATTGGGTTATGACCGAAGATCCATCCGACCTGTGAATTCATACTATCCCAGCCCAACTGGTATCGGCCCCCTCCGCCATCCTCTTGCGCAAAAAAACTATGTGCGCACACTCGTTCATCAGAATTTATAAGTTTTCAAGAACCCTTTGCCAACAACGGGGCGAACTGCACACGCGCGCGTCGTCGCGTGCGCATGCTGGTGTCCTTGAAAGACCTTCGGTTTCGGCGGCGGGAATTCAAAATCGAATGTCCAAACCATGAAACAAAACACATGGTTTCGCAACGCGGATTCCCCAAACAAGCTTACGCGCGCTTCTGCGAAATCCCAAGAAAAGCATACGTTCTTCAATATTCTCAAACCTGTCAAAATCTTTCGGGCACCCTTGCGCGCGGGCCGTCGCGAGAATCGTCTTCCAAAAAGCAAGACGAAGTGCACGCGCGAGTCTTCGCGCGTGCATGCCGAAATCATTCAAAAACCCTCGCTTTCGGAAGGTGATTCAACATCGAGGGCCCAAGAACCACACAAGAAGACAGGGTTTCGCAACGCGGGTTTTCAACAACGCGTGCGCGCGCGCTCTTGCGTCGTCGTCGTTGTCGTTGTCGCCGTCCTACCTCCTCCCTCGTCGTCGTCGTCTTCGCCGCCGTCGTCGTCCCCTGTCTTTCCTCGTCGTCGTCGTCGTCTTCTTTGGCGTCGTCGTCGTTTCCGTCGTTGTCGCCGTGGTCGTCCTTCCTCTTATTTCGTCGTCGTCCGTCGTCCGTCGTCGGCGTCTCGTCGTCGTCCCTCCTATTTCGCCGCTGTCGTCGTGGTCGTTGTCGTTGTCGTCGTCGTCGTCGTCGTCTTCACTCCTCCCTCGTCGTTGTTGTCGTTGGCGTCGCCGTCATCCTTCCTTCGTCGTTCGCGTCGTCGCCGTCCTCCCTCCTCCCTCGTCGTTGTGGTCGTTGTCGCCGCCGTCGCCCTCCCTCCTCCCACGTCGTCGTCGTCGTTTTCGTTGGCGACGTCGTCGTGAGCGTCGTCGTCGTCATCGCCTTTGTCGTCGTCGTCGTCGTCGGCGCGTCGTCGTCGGCGTCGTCGTCGTCGTCGGCGTTGTTATCGTCGTCGTCGTCGTCGGCGACGGCGTCGTCGTCGTCGGTGTCGTCGTCGTCGTTGTCGTCGTCGCTGAAGCCGTTGGACACGTCGTCGGTGTCGTCGTAGTCGTTGTCGGCGTCGTCGTCGACGTCGTTGTCGCTGTCGTCGTCGGCGTCGGTGTCGCTGCCAAGTGCCATTTGGTACTTACCGTCACGATCTTAAGAGGTTTTGCGACCAAGCTGCTGGTGGGAGGGTGGGATGTTTGCACGAGCAGTGGAGAGGACAGTTTCAAGACAGCGTATTGTTAGAAACACATTGTCCTGGGTCCCAGTTGGCGAGCCTGGTTTTCATTGTGGGCAATGCCCCATCACACGACACATGGTTCGAGAATCCTCAATCGTGCTAGTGCACAGCTCCTGGGATATCAGCGCCGCGAACCAACGTGACTCTTGCGTCCTGGTCATCGTAACTCGTGCCTGCGCACCACTCTGGGGACTTCACCATTGTGGACGAGCGTGACGTTTGTGTTCTGGCAATCGCCAGCCTTGACGGAAAACCATTATTGGAATTTCAATGTTGCGAGTCTTCGAAGTTGTTGCAGCGTTTCAGGACGAATGGCGCGGCCATACAGCGGTGGGAGTCACATTTTGAAAACCACCTGCTTTCTATGTGTGACACGCTTGCGAACCTTAAGACGAATGTGCGCGGTGTCAAGGCGAAAGTCGCATTGCCACAACAACCCGTCCATCCTTGAAGCTGTACGATTTTACGGCGAATGTGCGCGGCGATTATGCGAGAACCACATATTGAGAACAACCCGCCCTTCAGCCTTGAAACTGTTGTGAACTCTGACGACGGATGTGAGCGGCGCCAAATCTAGAGCCAATTTTTGAAAACCACCCGCCGTCCATCCCTGACACGGTTGC